TTTTTAGCGTAAGGATTTTAGAAAAAAGTATCGTCTTATAGTCGGAAAAATACGGTAAATATGAGCTTGGATCTGTACTTTGCATTTTTCTGAGAGACAAAGTACTTTTAGAAAGTTAGCTCTGAGTCTTGTCTTTACCACCCTTAATGGGGGGGAGGTGAGGGCAGGTAGATAATTGATACCTACTGGGTGCTTTTGTGTAACTAAAATTATGTGAGTATTGTATTTTGAAAATAGTTCTAATATGATGTGATCTAACTTGAGACACTAAATATAGATTCTAAAGAATATAATATTCTCAGGTTATTACGTCTTAATGGGCATGTTATCAATATAATTATTCCATTTTCTTTCTTCTTAGAAATGTGGGCTTCAAGGATTAATCAGTTATTTTAAAAGCAGAACAATAATGGAATGTTTCCATGTTTGGACTCACTGTCAGCATTGACATGAATTCTACCTCTAAGATGTTGTTAAATCATTAACACTTTATGAATATTGAAACAACAAGAAGTTGTGTAGGAGGACTTAGTGTGTGATCAAACTTTGCAACATTCTGCTATCACACGTAGGCTGGGTTAGTTCTTAACAATTCTGATAGGCTTTCCTTGCAAATTAAGACCAAACATCTGAATTGGAGGTAATAGTGTGGATTGTTATCTCTTCTTTCAAGCTTTTTCACTTCCAGTTAGATCAGCTACAGACAGTCTATAGTTGCTATTGACTGCAAAGCAGATAAATATGGAAGATGAAGAGTCCTTTAACCATAACTTATGTCTATTATTGAGGTTGTTGTTTACATGCCACTGATTTTATAAAATGTGTATGTATGTATAAATAAATAATGTTGAGTTTAACTTAATAATGTCCTTTAACCTTTGCAGAAATGTGATATCATTAGTTAAAATGGTTTTTTAAATTTTATCTCTAAAATGAAGTAAATCTGCATTTAAAAATTGTTTTATATTAAATTGATATACATTAAATTATGATAGTAAAATATATAATATGTCTGTCTTAAAGTCATTTAGCAATATTGTTCATTTTTTTAAAGTTCAGAAATAAAGTTTGAGGAGTTGACAACACACCTGAGTTCCAGCTTTTAAGGACAAAATGAGGCAGGTTAAAATACAAAACTTATTAGGTAAGAATGAACTTTATTGCAAGAAAATGAATCATGTTGTAGTTCTTGTCACAATGTAGTAGCAGGTTATCAGATACATTCCTTAATTGACAGAGCTTTGTGCCAACTTGACATTATTGTCAACCAGCAAACTGCGCTGAGCTCTAAAACATTTATCTCTAGAGCTATTTTGGTTCACAATCTGCCTATTTTTGTGAGTGTTTTATTAAGAAGCAAAATGTAATTATGGGAGAAAATCCATGAATTAAGATAACAAGGACATTCTGAGCATAAATAATTCATCTGTATAACCAAGGGTACAGGGAATTCTGGATGAAGGTATATATTCTATAGTAATAGTTGTCATTCTATAGCATTAATTTTGGATTTTGTTCTGTTACTAATGTACTTGATATCATTTAGGAGACAATACTAATGATACTATGATTAAATAAAGTAATTTCAGTTTTCAAGGAATAGTTGCCAATTGATTTATATCCTTTTCAAGAAAAAAATTATTTTCCGGTTCTCCTTATAGACACTGGTAAGAAGAACAGAAAATGTCATTCAACAGAGAAGGACAAGCCAATTCCTAAATGTAGTTAAAGCTTATTATAATAAAGTATATACATAAACTGGAATGATGGTCTCAGTAGAAGAATTTAAATATTTAGTTTTAAGGTACCGATTGATAATTCACATGGTATCTTTTTATACCACTCCTATTCTTAAAAATGAAAAAGAAAATGAATCATCACCATGTTTTTAACATGCCATACAATTCCTGTTTTCTGTACTGTATTAAGTAGAAATGCAAGTTGCTCTTCCGGGTATTAAAAGAAGCTTTTCATATTGACATCAGACTTTGGTACAAACTCAGTTGGCTTCAGTGATATGGGTTCAGATCATGATAAACACATGAACTCATTGTATCGTCGAAGGCTTTCACGGCCGGCATACGATGGCTGGTGTGGGTCTTCCGGGCTGTGTGGCCGTGTTCT